GTGCGCGCGGAACTCCCGCGGCGGGGGATCGGAGCCGGATGAGGCCCCGCCCACTTCCTCCTCCTCCTCATTGCTGCCGCCGCTGAAGGCTAACGTGACGTCACAGAAGAGGCCTAACCGCCGTTGTTCGTTCTGGCGGCAGGCGAGGTCGGAGCAATGGGCCACGCACGAAAACACCTCCGAGTCAGGCTCTGAGTCTAGCCCCGCCTCGCCCTCCAAGCCCAGGAGGTTGACATCCGGGCCGCTGCCTCTAGCCGCCGCCATCTTGGTTATTTTTAAATCGATTCGAAGTTTTCTCGTTGGTGTATCGTATACGTCACTTACAGGATCATAGAGATATGAATGTATTATACTTCCGGCACTAATAGTCGCCGTTTGCGATCATAGATGCCAGAATGATTAACAAAATTCTTACAAATTATTATTTTTTTTAAAATTGGATTCCTGTTTATTTTTTTTCCTAACTTGCAAAATAAAGAGGAATGCTATTTTTTGAAAACATAGGACAAATCCAGGCTAGGTAAACTAACTGTAATCCTAAATCAGGAGTCTTCAAACTTGGCCCTTTCATGACTTGTGGACTTCAACTCCCAGAATTCCTCAGCCAGGCATGCTGGCTGAGGAATTCTGGGAATTGAAGTCCACAAGTCTTGAAAGGGCCAAGTTTGAAGACCCCTATCCTAAATGGATATGCTACTGTAGAAAAAGTGTGTTCAGCTTCTTCATCAAATTAGGATATTGTAGTTTTTTGGATGTTGGCAGTGGTATATTAGCTTTAAGGTAATCGTTTCCTTTAATGTTTGCAGGAGCACGCTTGGAATAAAACTGGGTTTTGTTTGTATTTGTAATGAAGAAAACTTGCACCAAATATGCACCAAATATTAGCCTAATTAATGCTATCTCGCTTTTGTACATTACGCTTTAAACAAGAGAGTCACGTACCTGGATGTAAATGAAACGCCATTACCTTTAAAACGCCATTACTTTTAAACAAGAGAGTCACGTACCTGGATGTAAATGAAATGATGACACCTAATAAATTGATGACGTATAACGATTGTTTTACCATCTACAAGTCAATCGTTTCTTTGCTGCTGAGTGCAATTGCGAGTGGGCAAGACACTGTATAAAAACGAAGGCTCCCCCCTCCAGGTGTGGCTCTTCCCTAACACGCTGCTGCCTGTGTGTTGGGAGGTTGTCCACCCAGCTTCTTCACTCGGCCAAATAAAGAGCTGTTTTCCTGTTCCTGAAGCCTCTGTCTGAGTTTCTCCTTTGGCTTGTGAGAGTCTCAGATTTTATTCACCAACAAACCTTACAGTAACATATTGACCAGGTTGCCTAAATGTTTCCTTACTAGATCAGATGTATGAGGAATAAAAATTCAACTCCGAGGGTGCTGGAAAATAAAACAAGTTTTATTAAAGTGTTTGCAAAGGGTGGTGGACCCTTCTACGTGCAAGTAAAGGGCCACACTTGAATCATTTCAGTATAAACCTTTATACCAGTGATGGCGAACCTTTTAGAGACCGAGTGCCCAAACTGCAACCCAAAACCCACTTATGCATCATTGGGTGCCAGGTGGGCGTGGCCCATTGGGTGGGTGTGGCCCATTGGGTGGGCATGGCTGCGGTGGTAACGGCAGACTGGGTGGGACTAAAAAGTTCAATCAATCAATTCCAACTTTGCAAGATCTTTTTTTTCCCACGAGAAGTTGAAATTGACTGATTGATTGAACCTTTTTTTTTTGCCCACGGCGGCAGAGGCCTAAAGCGAAAAAGTTTTATAAAACCCAGCTGAAGGCCTAGGACGGGGGCGACGGTGCGCGTGCCCACAGAGAGGGCTCTGAGTGCCGCCTCTGGCACCCGTGCCATAGGTTCGCCACCACAGCTTTATACCCTGTCCCATAGATCAGGGCTTTTCAACCTTTTTATCCATTGTACCATTTTTAGGATATGGCAACATCCGAGTACCACCAGTTGCCTAGCAAGGCGTCAAAAACTTGATGACCCCCCAAAAAAAGGAAAAAAGTGATAAAGTACAGGTAGTCCTCGACTTACAACAGTTCGCTTAGTGACTATTTGAAGTTACAATGGCACTGAAAAAGTGCCCCCCAAGGCACAGCCGAGCAAGACACCTGCCTGCCCACCCGGCGGCGCTCTTCCTCCTGTCCAAGGTTTTCATTGTTGTGAGCATTTCTGTTGAGGATTGGCAGCGGGGGTGGGGTTTTTTTGGTTTTTATTCCCCCCATCTGCTGGGTGGTTGCAGCAGGTTTTGGTCACTTCTCATGACCCTGGGACACTGTGACCGTCATAAATATGAATTAGTTGCCAAGCATCTGAATGTAAATCACAAGACCCTGGAGATGCTGCAACAATCCAGCTGATCAGCGTTTCTTCTGGGCTCAGCAGAAGCGCCAGGATCAGTGTCAAGCTCCAGCTGGAGCCCGGCGCTAATCCTGGCGCTTCCACTGAGCCCTGACAGCCCCGAAGAAGCGCTGATCTGGCGCTTCCGCTGAGCCCTGACCGCCCTGCAGCTCCAGCCATCTCTCACTCAGGCTTGTGCGGTGCTGCCACCGGTTCAGCTCATTCCCCTCCGCCGCTACCACTTTTCTAGGATGGTCGCGTACCACCTGCCATGTGCCAATGTACCACAGGTGGTACCCGTACCACTGGTTAAAAAGCCCTGCCATAGGTTAGAAACATGCCACATTCTTTTTTTCCAGCCCCAGTTGATAGGTCCAGTCTGGTCACAAGCTTCCTGACCACCTAGTACCGCAGCTGTACAATTAATAATTCTCCTTTGTTTTACCTTTATCTTTCCTTTTTCATGTTTATGAATTCAAGCAACTCAGCTCACAATAGGAGCCTATTTGTCTAAGCTGAATGATACAAATGTTTCAACCATGTTCTCTTGCCTATCTATACAATGTAACTAACATAGACTAGGATAGGATAGGCATAGGCATAGGATATGATAGGACAAATAGTTGGAAGGTACTTTGGAGGTCTTCTAGTCCAATCCCCTGCTGAAGCAGGAGACTTTATACCATTTCAAACAAATGGCTGTCCAATCCCTTATTTAAAACCTCCAGTGATGGAGCACCCACAACTTCTGAAGATAAGCCATTCCACTGGTTAATTGTTTTCACTGTCAGGAAATTTCTCCTTAGTTCTAGATGGCTTCTCTCCTCAATTAGTTTCCATCCATTTTTTCTTGTCTTGCCTTCTGGGCTTTGGAGAATAGGTTGACCCCCTCTTCTTTATGGCACCCCTCAACTATTGGAACATTGCTATCATGTCACTCCTAGTCTTTCTTTCTTTTCACTAGACTAGACATACCCAATTTCTGCAAATGTTCTTCATATGTTTTAGCTCCAGCCCCCTTATTACTTTTTTCTGCACTCTTTCCAGAGTCTCAACTTCTTTTAATATGATGAACAAAACTAGATGCAGTATTCTAAGCGTGGTCTTACTAAGACTTTATAAAATGGTACTAGTACTTCACATGATCTTGATTCTATCCCTCTTTAATGCAACCTAGGATTGCATTGGCTTTTTTAGTGGCTGCCACACATAGGTCCAATTGTTCCCTATTACTGGGCAAGATGTCTCCCTAGGCATCTCATAAGGACTAGCACCTTACAAGAGTTTTAACTGGGAATGAATCTGAGCTATTTTATCTGGCAGGTATTGTCACAACCTACACATTGGAAGAAGGGCTCTTTACTCTGGTTAACCCTTTCTTATTCTTTCCTGCGGGTTATGTCATACTCCTGTGGGGAGGGGGGAAGTTACAGGTCTGCAATGTAATTTCTTCCTTTCACTTCTGCTGCTACAATGTATCCTCTCCAATTCCTCTACTGCTTGCTCTCTGAATTGTTTCCCCTTGATGTCAATCTGGGGTGAGAAAGGAATGTGCCTCTGGCCATCTGGCTTATCTCTTGCTGTGAAAGAATAGGTGCAAAGACCTAACAACAGTTTCACAGTCTTGGGAATGGTGCCTTATCAGCCCTGTTCCCCCAGCGGATTCATCACTTGGGGATTGGTCTATTTGAACTGACTGAATGAACTATTGGGGTGGGGTTTGCTTCTTGCTCCTTAACCTATTGATTCATGCGGGAAACCCTCAGGTCCTGCCTTCTATGCCTGCTGTCAACTTTTCCTAATAAAAGTTCCTTTTGGGATGAAATCATTCCAAGAGTTCTGCTTTCTTGGGAAGAGAGTTTGAAGCGGGTCCTTAGAGGTATTCAATGATGATCCTAGCCCGCTTGGGCTAGGATGGATTGAGTGATTTCGAATAGAATCAATGGGTGACACTCTGGACACACTCTGTAGAGCAGAGAATTATTTTTGTTTCATCACTTTTACCACCATGAAATAGGCCTTAATAGGGGCTCTAAGACATGTCAACAAAGTCATCCTTTGTTTTCCTCTAGCGGCACTCTAGAAGTCTCTTAATCCATTTCAGAACCCTCTATTACTCTGTGAACCACAGGGAATGATGGGAGAGAAATGTTGTGAGAGGGCGATTATGTCCAGAGCCTCAGTGGCCTTCTGGTTCCAGGCTGTTACTAAGGCTTCAGCATGACCATGCAGCAAATCCTTTGGGATATTCCCCAGTTCCTTCTGGAACCCACTTGGATCCATCAGTCACTGGGAGTGGACTATTCTAATGGGTCCAATCTCTCTGCAGAGGTGGGCAGTGTAGGAGAGTCACAGGATATCAGGGTATGATCTGACCATTATAGGGTGGATAACATTAGATTACTAATCAGAACACCTTGTCATTGCTCTGATAAGAATATTAGATCTGTGTGTGACACCAAAGTTGGACCTGTGACAATCTGGGATAGGCCCATGGCCATCGTGGAGATCATGAATTCCTGAGCTGTTTCTGAAGCCAATCCCAGGAAAGAGATGAAACCCACAAATGGAACATACAGCTAGAGGGATTAAAATTATTTAAAAGAAACAGACCAAATAAAAGAGGAGGTAGAGTTGCATATAGAAGAAATACCTACATCTCTACAGAAATAACCACAATAATGATGAAAACTGTCTTGAATGCGTTTGGGTCAATATAAAAAGAGAAAAAATGACATTGCCATAGGTGTATAGTATAGGTCACCCAACCAAACAGAGGAAATAGATGAACTTTTTGCTAGTTAGTTAACTAAGGTATGTAGGAAGCACATCACAATAGTAATAGGGGACTTTAATTACCCTGACATCAACTGGGAGATAAACTCTGCACCAAGTGGAAGA